ATATATATTAATTATATATATTTAAAAAATATAAATATATATTATATATATATATATATATATTATAAATATTATTATATAATATAATATATATATGTCGTGCCGAATAGGCCCGAATTGCAACTTGGCTTAAATAGCAACGCTCATCTTGCCCTATGGACAAGTGAAATTTGTGTATGAAAAAATTTCGCCAAAATCATTCTGAACCCAACGAAAAAATATATTTCACTGGTTTTTTTTTAGTATTAAATTATTTAAACAAATTAAAAAAATTTAGTTTGGGTTGGCTAAAAAAAAATTGTTCTAGTTTTAAAAAGGTTAGGGAAGTTTTCTAAGATTCTTTTGGTGCAAAATTAAAAATTTTTACATCAACATTAATAAAAAAGATATATCTTTAAACGTATTGGAGAAAATTTTAGAAAGGGATTAATTTTAAATGAGTTCTTGCTAATTGATCAGTTTTACATATTCGGCACGACATTTAATATATATATATATATAAAATATATATATATATATATATATATATATATATATATATATATATATATATATATTTTTATATATAATAAAGTTGCGTCGTGTACTTGTAGAAATAATAATTATTATTATTTTTTTATTATTATTGTTATTATTATAATAATAATAGTCGTTTAGTTTTAGTGTCTTGCCAGAGTAAAAGTGAATTAGATCTATTTTGTTATTAAGATTGTCTGTTAACTTTGAATCTGCGGGAAATTACTGAGCTTAAGTATGAGGACATCGAGGAAAGTTAGTTTGACACCAGTTTCCTCTTCTAAAGTTGAATTGTAGACTCAACTGCGATGAACACGGGATCGTTTCCATTGTGAACCGAATGAATGCTTTTTGAAATTACCTTTATTTGCAAAAAAAAAAAAAAAAATATTATAAGGGTAGAGCGATATATTTAATTAGTATTTTATGATGAAAATTACAATATTTCTCCTGATGATTCAACACTTCAGAGTAAATGTAATAATAATAATAATAATAATAATAATAATAATAATAATAATAATAATAATAATAATAATAATTAAGATGACTTTGTTTAATTATCGCCCATGAAAATGACTTATCGTGATTACTGAAGAAAAGGAAAATATTAGGAAAAGCTTTAACACGTCGAAGCTCTCTTAGCCAAAACTTAGATAAGCAAAGATAAGAATGCAATACAATAAGACAAGTTTTAATCGGGAATCTACGAATGTTTTAGAAAAATAAGCACACACGCACAAACACATTAGAAAGAAAACTTGAGACAACGGTTTGGTCCGTCCTGGAACAGTATTAAGTTATAAATTGATAATGGTTCATGATAAACCGAAACATCGACTAAAGTTTCCTCTCCAAAGTGTAGGTGTGGTTTAATATTCATCTAAATTTACAACAGTGTAAATGTTTTACAGCTATTCTTAGTGTATAGAGATGTAAATGTAAACATGTTTATATGGTCACGGTAAAGAATATTGTAGGATTTTTTCAATTTTCAAAAAAAAATTTAGTAGTATTTTCATAATATAAGGTTGACCTTATATATACATATATTATATATATATATATATATATATATATATATATATATATATTATATATATATATATATATATATATATTATATATTATATATATATATATATATATATATATATATATATATATATATAATATTAATATATATATATATATATATATATATATATATATATATATATATATATATATATATATATATATATATATTTATATATATATATATATATAATATATATATATTATATATTCTCTCCTTGTTAATTTTTTAATTTTATTATTATTGCATTATTAGCTGAGCTCATATTGAGGACAAGAATGAATACAATAAAAATAAGTTGCAGAAAAAGCTATTATCGGGACATAGTCTCGCTCAGTGTAGAGCTTTATCAAGTCATAACTTGATGGAACTCTACACTGAGCTGTAAGTTGCCCCAGAAGAACCTTGTTCTGCAGTATACGTCTGTGACATCATTCTCCTCCCCCTCAATACAACACCGAAGACAAACGGGGCAAAATTAACAAGTAGTGAAAAAGGCACGATTACCGAGAGAATTGACTGAATGATTGACTGAAGAAGCTTATATACAGGAGAAACGTCTCAATAAAGTTTCTCTTTTGTTACCTTTTTTTTCTCGCTACAGTATTGATATTAATCACCGTCGTATCCCTGACTACATAACTGTTTTTACTTATATTACTCTTGAAGTTCTCAGTGTCCTGTGAGAAGTTTGTTCATGTATTTGACCATCGGCGAGGATGACGTCCGCTTCCACTCAGGTTTTCCCAGCCTGTGTTGGCTCACTCGTCTACATTCCTCTCACCCCGCCGGAGAAACCATCTCCCTGTGTGTGTACTCGCCTATTAAGTATCGCCAATTTGTGCTCGCAGGGGTCGAGACTCAGCTGCTGGCCCTTCCTAGACTACTTTCATCTGCAGCCCTGGTTTTTGACCTTCTGATCCTTATCATTTCTAATCTTGAAGGTGTTCATTGAGTTTACCCCATCCAAATCATTCAGCTCTTCAGCCACCCTGACAATAAAGAAATACTGCATTACATTCCAGTGGCTAATCTATCTCCAGCTTTCATCCGTGTCCCCTTGATCGTAGTCCGCTTAATTAAATAATTTCTCTATATATCCTATAAATTCTTCTTAGAATGTTGTATGTTGCATGTCTTAGGTTGTATGTCGTATGTTGTATGCATTTGCCTCTAAATTGGTAACACCCGAGTTCATTCACTCCTAGCTTCGAGGACCCTCTTGCAATTATTCCTCAACCTACATATGCAGTCAGCCTGCACAGTTTATCACTTAGGTCACTGCATTTACTGGTCTTTCTGAGGCTTAAGAAGAATATCCTAACATCTCCATAAAAAGATGATAGGAAGAGAAAATGAAGATGAAAGAAGAAGGTGAAGAGAAAGAAGGACATGAAAAATAGAAAAGTAAATGAGAGCACTAAACTGGGTTTGCCACTTCAACAATGCTTTGAGTACTGAAAAATTGTTGGTGGCCGTACTGTTATGCAATGTTCTGAAGGATCCCTCACTTGGCACAAAGTCGTCAGTGGCACAAGTTCGTCAGTACACCACATAACGAGTTGTACCACTTTGCCAAGGCCTCGCACCTTCAGTAATCATTCATCTCTCGAAAGAATAGCATTTGGAACATATTCTCTTAACAAATTATTATTATTATTGTTATTATTATTATTATTATTATTATTATTATTATTATTATTATTATTATTATTATTATTAAATACATGGGGAAGCGCAAAGCCAATATGGATTATACAGAGCCTGAGAAATGAAAGATAATAAGGTTCGATATAGAGAAGGGAATGTTAATTTTAATTTTTTGTAGCAAGAGCCCTTCTCCAGCATCAAGGCACCTCATTGTCCCTTCATTTCCCTTCCTCATTGAAGGGACAACATCACATAAGTGAGATGAACTAACAGCAACTTCACACTCTTCAATATACTTGTTTTAAAATTGATGATCTGAGAGTCATAAGACAAAATGAACTAGAAGAGTATATGGTGATTGAGGATGAAAGAAGAGATGGAGAGGGAAAATAGGAAAAGTGAGTGAAGACGTTAAAGAAAAAAGAAGAAAGAATATAGGAATACAGAAAAATATTTGGTGAAGGATTTGAAACGAAGGAAAGACATAGGGGAAGTGGAGGAGAAAGAGGAGGTGAGGGAGAAAAAAAAATAAAGAGGGTGAAAGAAAAAAGTGGGGGGGGGGAAGGAAGAGGTGATGGGAAGGAAAAATGAGACGAAATAGATGAATGAGAGATGGAGAACATGGATGGAAAAGACCCACCGTTTGGTTGGTAAAGTAGGAGAGGCAACAACAACAACAACAAAAAAGAGACGAAGTGAGAAGAAAATTAAAATTGAAAGAAAAATAGATGGAGATCAGTAGAGGAATGAAATAAAGAAGTAAAAATAACAAGTAAAGGGGAAAGCGAGAATAAGAAAAAAACGAACTAGGAAAACTTTATCCTCGAGTAAAATTTGTCAGTCTGTGACCCTGTCAGTCTGTGACCCTGTCAGTCTGTGACCCTGTCAGCCTGTGACCCTATCAGTCTGTGACCCTGTCAGTCTGTGACCCTGTCAGTCTGTGACCCTGTCAGCCTGTGACCCTGTCAGTCTGTGACCCTGTCAGTCTGTGACCCTGTCAGCCTGTGACCCTGTCAGTCTGTGACCCTGTCAGTCTGTGACCCTGTCAGTCTGTGACCCTGTCGTCTGTGACCCTGTCAGTCTGTGACCCTGTCAGTCTGTGACCCTGTCAGCCTGTGACCCTGTCAATCTGTGACCCTGTCAGTCTGTGACCCTGTCAGCCTGTGACCCTGTCAGTCTGTGACCCTGTCAGTCTGTGACCCTGTCAGTCTGTGACCCTGTCAGCCTGTGAGCCTGTCAGTCTGTGACCCTGTCAGTCTGTGACCCTGTCAGTCTGTGACCCTGTCAGTCTGTGACCCTGTCAGTCCTGTAACTCTTCTATTGTCTAATATTGCTAGTTTGTAACCCTGTCAATCTGTAACCCTGCTACTTTGTAATGCTGTCACTCTATAACCCTGCCAATCTGTAACTCTGCCAGTCTATTATTAAATCATTCTCGTTCCTTGCCAGTCTTGTACCCTGTCTGTAACTCTGCCTGTCTATTACCCTGCCCGTCCGGCAGCCTGATAGACCGGTACTCTTTCAGCCTGAAGACCTGTCTGTCAGTCCTGTACTGTACCAATCACTTACACTGCCAGCGAGCCATTCCCCTGCTATGCACCCATGCCAGCGATAACCCTGCCAACCAACGACTCAATCCACATCAACCCTGCCAGCCAGACATAAACCCTGCTGGTCAACCCCACGTCCTGCCAGCTACCCACTCCCTGCCATTTAGCCCTTCACCCTGTCAGCTGACCAGCGGTGGTCGGTGGCGCCACCTGTCGCGGCTTTCAGAGCATAGAGGAAGGATGGGTTTAGTGCGGCCAAGACCAGTGTTTGGATCAGACGGACCCTAAGGTGTTGCTACCCGCACCGTTACCACACCCAGGTAGCCAGCCAGGCAAGATAGCTAGAGAGTAGGCTACCCTATTGGCCAGTTACAGAGACTACCAGTTAGCATCCCAGCCAGATAGCAAATTGTCCTCTCATCCAGTGAGGCAGTCACCCACTCATCCAGTGAGCAAGTCACCAGCTCATCCAGTGAGCCAATCGCCTGCTCATTCAGTGAGCCAGTCACCCGCTCATCCAGTGAGCGTCACCTTCTGAGTCAGGTATCGTTTCAGCCTATAAGCCAGCCAACAGCAACTCATCTTCTCAAACGGATGAAGATCGATGTGTGTGTGTGTGTGTGTGTGTGTGTGTGTGTGTGTGTGTGTGTGTGTGTGTGTGTGTGTGTGTGTGTGTGTGTGTGTGTGTGTGTGTGTTTTCTTATTTATTGCTTCTTATATGTATGAAATCTACACGTTAACTAGTACCAACAATATAGTGTATGCAGTGCATTCATATGTTTTTTCTTCTTATTGCTTATTAATGTTATTGCTTATTATTATTATTATTATTATTATTATTATTATTATTAACACGTGACAGCTCTACTGAAGAAAGAGTTTGACCAGCAGATCATCAAGGTCCTAAGACTGCCACAACACAGTTGCCACATCTCGCTCTCATATACTGTACATACAGAGAGATCAGCTGTCAAACAGGTTTTCCCAAGTTTTTAGGTTTAACGTTACAAAGGTATTTTTCAGTACACCCAATTTATTGTTATAGTTTTCTGTAAATAACCTGTGGAGCTTATAATTAATAATAATAATAATAATAAATAAATAATAATAATAATAATAATAATAATAAAAGTGCGTCCTAACTCTTGCCAAGGTCCCGACATTTTCGACCGAATGATGAAAATAGTTTTGTTATAAGGAAAAAGTGTAACATAAGAAAGGAGGAGCTTTACTACAGGCCTACTGATCCATGCTAGGCAGGTCTAACTCGCACACCCACCCATGCTAGGCAGGGCTAACTCACACACCCACCCACCCATGCTAGGCAGGGCTAACTCTCATACCCATGCTAGGCAGGGCTAACTCTCATACCCATGCTAGGCAGGGCAAACTCTCTCACACACACAGGTTCCTGTCCAACTTTTTCAAAGCCACCCAAAGTTCTCTCTTCAGAAGTACCTTAACGCTGGTAATTAACTCTTCATTCGTGTAGCTGAAGCCATTGTTCCATCCTCAAATCAAATCTGACTGCCTCCCATTCAGGTTTAGTACTTCACACTGAAAATTATAATAATTGTGATCCTCTGAACCCTCTCGAGTTTCTCAACTTGCTTGACCTGGTGTGGTCTCAGTGCTGGCGCTGCGTACCTTATGAAATGTCTGACATGTTGTGTGTGTGTGTGTGTGTGTGTGTGTGTGTGTGTGTGTGTGTGTGTGTGTGTGTGTGTGTGTATGTGTTCTTATTTATTGCTTCTTATATGTATGAAATCTACACGTTAACTAGTACCAACAATATAAAGTGTATGCATATGTTTTTTCTTCTTATATGTGACTTGTTCCAGGCAGATGATGAGTGAGCGTTCTCGTACCAGCTGACAAATATGGCATACTCTCGGCCAGCTGCCTCCCTTCCAGGTGGGTGTACCACCAATTGCTATATGGTGTCATGTTTAATATCACGTGCAACGCACTCAACCTGTAACGCCCATTTTAATACAATTTATTGTTATATTTATATCACACATGGAGAGTGAATAATCATTTAGATAATTGAAAATCAGGGAAAATAGATTTCCATTTTCGACCTAAGCCAGTCTCTCGCTCATCAGCAGAACTGCTGACGGAGATTGAAATATACAGCTCTCTTACCAGTTCAGTTTTTCTTTTTCTCACTTTTCATCCATCAGAGTTAGTCATTTTAAACCATATTGCCATACCATGTATTTGCTGTACCAGGGTCAGTGTTGCGGTCAAGATGGGTAACATGTAAAGTACCGGTAACATGTAACGTACCTATGTGACATGTAACATATGTAGCACAGAGTACGTTGATTACATTTAAAACCGAAACAATCTTTAATTTTAAATGTCTTTAAACCTTTATTAATGAAGCATAATTAATTACCTAATTTTTGTAGTTCTAACTATAATTTTAATTGACCTATTTCTTTTCAACATCAAAATATTTCCCTATTTGCCTTCGTGGACAACATTTTTTTTACCACAGATGCCTCAATGTATCACTCACCTGTTTCCTCTCATCATTTCTATAGTTCACCTCGTCTCTCATTGACCCATCCGCCGACTAGTCCACTCCCTGAACTCATTCACTACCTCCATGTTCCCCCCTCCCCACCCCTTCCAGTCTGAAATCCAAGCTTTCATTATCTAATCGTTTGTTACCCTCATCAACTTGCTCTTACCCATGTTCACTTTTAATTTCCTTCTTTTACATACTCTCCCAAATTCATCCACCAACCTTTACAACATATCTTCAGAATTATAAAAATTCTTATCGTACAGCTGAAATGCTCATTTCTAAAACGATTAATAAAACTGTACCTTGTATATGTATAAATGTGTATATATATATATATATATATATATATATATATATATATATATATATATATATATATATATATATATATATATATATATATATAATAGCTAATTACGCATTTAAACACCATTATATGTATACTCTACACACATCATTACTGTTAAGCAAATCACCGAAATACAAATTTCTTGACAGTGTTGATGGTGATGCTTGTGTTGGCCTCTGGGACTTCCCTCAGCTGGAATTTACCGTAAGTTAGATACTAGTGGCTTGTATCCAGTTCAAAATATTCTTTAATATGCGCTAGTTAAATTTAGCTTGCTTAGGGGATTTTCTTTTCTGATTGTTCACCACTGCCCAGTGATGTATAAAACAGATGTGGTATCTTAACAATGAAGTTAGAAAGGGCAATGATTTTTGTACATAAGTTATAAGTAAGGATTTTTTTAATATATTCTTAATACAATGAGTACCAGGCATATGGATTTCATTTAAAACATATAATGTGGCTTGATAACTCGTGATATCATCATCCCTGTCTTTTTTTCCAAATAAACATTCTTTTGGTAGATGTAACATCATCAGCAACCTTTGGATTTAACAGTTTTAAGGAAGCCAAATGAGGCAAATGAATTAACAAACTGTTCCATTCAAGACATAAAATAGTAACCTGAAATGTATATTTAAACCTTCAGAAGATGAAATTACCGAGATGACTAAATTTCTTAATTCTGCACTATCACTTCCGTATCATCATATTAAAATAATACCTAGTCAGTTATTCTCAACCTGTGTTCCGCGGATTCCTTGGGGGGCCACTGAATTATTCCAAGGGGACATCGAAGCCTTACTGAGTTCATACTACTTTTTTGCTATTTCATATTCTCGCAATTAATGGAGCTTAGAGTTACAGCTATTATTTTGTGAGGGATTCAATCAATTTTCTGAAGCTGAAAATGGGTCCTCGTTCTCGAAAAGGTTGGGAAACACTGATCTAGCCAATAGATTTCCCACATTCGTAAACCTGAAAATTTCAACTTGTTCTTGTGGACACTGAAAAGTAAACAGGCAGGCGGGACCTTACAGACGGAGGACCTTCAACCAGGATACTGGGCAACCATACATGCGCCCGCTAGCTGGGAGCAGCACAAGAACACACCACCACAGAATACTTTAAAGAGAAGAAAACGGCAAGATGGTAGGTGCTTCCGCTTTTTGTATCTAGATATTTGGAAGGCAGCTCTAGAACAGGGAGTGATAAGGAAATGAAAAGAAAAAAAATCTAGTGAGTTTATTAAATAAAAGTGTGAAAATATGTTTATGCAAAAATTAAGCTTTCGAAGTGTTAAACCCATGTTGATCATTCAGTGCAATCTTCCATTTACTTGAAAAGCTAATTTAATAAAGAGGAAACGGATAGGAGAATTTTTTTTAATGATATTGAAGCTGTATTGGCCTAAAGTTTTAAAGGAAAGAGTTAATTACAATATTTTAAGAGTTAAGCGAATCGATAAAGCCAAAAAAGGAAGAGGTGTTCACGGCTCAGTTTAGACGCTTTAGACCTACAACAGAAGGTCTTTGATACGATTCCGGGGAGGCTGGAAACCGTAGGCATGTCTTTTGATACCTATTGCTCCCTTTCATCTATCCGATTGTTGAGGTTGGTATTTCTTGGACTGAGCTTTGAAATGAACTAAGGTAGAAAAACAGCTCTTAGCCTATTTATTCAAAAGTGTAGGGGTAAAAAAGGAGTTACATGAATGATCAATCAAGTGAAGAGGTGTTTTAGGAAAGAGAATAAAGAAGATGTATCAGTGTTGATGAATAATGATAAATTACTCTGTCTAAATTCTCATTCTCTCTCTCTCTCTCTCTCTCTCTCTCTCTCTCTCTCTCTCTCTCTCTCTCTCTCTCTCTCTCTCTCTCTCTCTCTCTCTCTCTCTCTCTCTCTCTTCTCCTCTCTTTCTCTCTCTTTCTCTCTCTTTCTCTCTTTACACAGGGTTTGACAAGGTTAAGGATCCCTAGCTTTATTGACAAGCTATTTACAGGTTAAGGATTCCTAACTTTATTGGCAAGCTAAGAGCTGTTACCTACATCAGCTCATTTGAAAGCATTTTTATTGTTATGAGACATACAAGTAGGGAACAGGATGAAGTTGGAGCCATCTGTCGGCCAGAATTTTCATTTGATCAACTGAGTTTATCTCATTGACATCATTATGCTGTACGAATGTGTTGCATACTCGAGTCATCCTGGGTATATATGATCTCAGGTGGAGTGATGTTCTGGAGAATGGTACAGCCAGAGTGAAGCTGCTGCTTTCTGCCCGTCTTGTGGCATAAAAGCTTGTTTCACGCTGTCCTC